CGTTAAAAAATAATAAATTTTAATATAAATTTCTTTTATTATTTTTTCTTTAAATACAAGACACAATAAATTAGTTTTTTTTTAACAAAACAACATTCTAGAAAAACTAATTCAACACCAATAATATCCTTAAATTTTGCTATTAAATTGTCAAATTGACTTTTAGTGATAATTTTTTTAATAAAATATATTTCATTAAATTATGTTATAATGATCATTCAAAATTAATTTTTTTTCAAATTAGCTTTCTAAATTTCGTTTAAAGCTGTTCATACAATATAGCTTTTTTTTTTAAAGTTATTATTGTAAACAAATATGTCAAAAGGTATTTTTTCAAGAAAATTATAATTTAAAACGTATTTTCTGTTGTATTTCAAAAAAAAAACACATGCATACAATATTTTATGTTGTATTTCAAAAATATTGTAATAAAAAGTCAATCGTTAAAATGTCATAAAAATCATATAAAAACAGTGTTTTTTATTTTATTTTTGCTACAATAATCATAATCATTAATTCATACAAGGAAAGAGAAAGTATAACAAAAGAAAAATATTACATTAATGACATTAATTTAATTAATCATAAAGAAAAAGAAAGATTCGTATTGATTCATCTAATGAGGTGTATCATGTTAATACACACCTTTTAAATTTTGAGTTGGTGTGTATTAACATATATATATATATATATATATATATATATATATATATATATATAACGAATAAGAAATTAGAAAAGTTTAACTTTTTAATAAGTGATGTACATGTATGATTTTAGAAATACTCAAAGCTTTGCTAGCATTAAATAGACGGTGTAATACTGATTTCTCCCTATATCCCACAAAATATGGATTTGGGAAAATGGAACGGAAAAATAAATAAAACGCCCATTAGTTATGCTATGTAGTATTATTTATATCATAAGTGTATTGCCTAAATGGTTGGGTTTACGAAACCCAAAATGGAAATGGTGAAAGGTACATAGGATACAGGTTGAATTGCAAAGTTGTGTAAAATGTTTTGAAATATTTTTTCATGAAATAGATATCAACCTAAACCATGGAATGATGTTCTCATCGTGAGTGTCAATAAACTTAAATAGGGAAGGAATGAGAGAGAGAATGAAAAGTAATTGTATTGAAAAAGTTAAAATTGAATTACACTATACATGTACATTTACAAGTAAGTTACTAGCACTTCAAGTAACTAACATAATAAAGCTTACTAAATTGGATTATATCACAACATACTCCCTTATAATTCAAGTTGCTAAACAAGCTAAATTAATCTGAACTATTCCTTATTTCTTTCTCGAAGTTAGGAATCTCTCGATCTTCAATCCTTTGGTGAAAATTTCGACCAACCATGTTTCACTCGAGCAATGTCTCACTCAAAGTTCATATTGATTTACATTCTCCTTTAGGAATGAAATCTAACTTCAACGTTCTTACTCCTTCCATGCATGACTAAATTATTTGCAAGATTAATGGTTGACTTGTTGTCGATCTACAACAGGATAGGTTTCTTTACTTCAACCTTCATCTCATCTAACATATATTTGATCCAGATTGCTTGACAAGAAGCATATGATCCTACTATATACTCAACCTCACATGATGATAATATAACCACAAGCTACTTTCTCGAGCACCGTGAGATTGGGGCACCAAATACTTGATAGAAATAACCAATTATGCTTCTTCGATCTTCCTTATCTCCACACATATCAACATCTGAATAACAATTAATCACAACTTTTTTGCTTTTAGAGTTTTGTGGAAATAGAATTTCCATAGTTTATTGATCCTTTTAGGCATCACGAGATTCTTCTTATAGTCTTCATGTGTGACACCTTTGCTTCATACATGTATCTGCTTGCTAATCCGACTGAGAAACCTATATCAAGTCTGGTGTTGCACACATACCTCAAAGATCCCACAATTTGTTTGAACAAGGTGACATCTACCTTGTCACCCTTTCCATGCCTCTCCAATTTCGGATTTGGTTTGACAGGTGAGGATGTATGATTCAAGTCGTCCATCCCGAATCTCTTAAGTATTTCTCTAACATACTTCATTTGATAAAACACCACACTTTACTTGGTAATTTTAAATTCCATGCCTAGGAAATACGATATTTTCCCAGATCTGACATTTCCAATTCCCTCTTCATCAGCTCTTTGAACTTCGACAAGTTCTCCGTACTATTTCTAGTTACTAGCAAGTCATCGACATATAAGCAGATGATGGTTATATCTTGTGTCATAATTTGTACATAGACACCATACTCATGCCTGGTGTAGCTCTAGTTTTTAGTGACGCGATCACTACCGCATTTAACGCTACTTTCTGAATTTTAATATTTATCCTATGATGCTTTAAAGGAACGAGAAGATATCTCAAGCAAACCCTGCTCGCAAATGTTATTCTTACAAATTGCTAAGAGATATGGAATCGATAGTTGGTTATACTAAGGGAAGCTATGAACACCGTGAGTATCTTTAGTACCCTATAGGAACCTTTATTGCATATTTCTATTGTTGAATTACTTGCTTGCCTAGGTTTGTTTTATTTTATGTTTTTTTTAAAATTATTTTTGGTAGGTACCTGGACCTAAAGGTTTATTATTATTATACTCACTAAGATTTCACAATCTTATGCCTACGTATTCTACAAAAGGAAACTGAGAAATCAGAACGTTCGTAGTTCTTCCTAAATCTATGAGAGGAAATTGTTTTATGTATTGTTCAAAGCCCAAGATTGAAGCCAACAGAGTATTTGTGTCTTTTTCAAAGCTCAAGAGTAAAGCTAAAAGAGTATTTGTGTCTTGTTCAAAGCCCAAGATTGAAGTTAAAAGAGTATTTATGTCTTGTTTAAAGCCCAATATTGAAGCTAATAATTAAATAAATGACTTCCTCATAAACAAATGCAAATTCTCTACAATAAGGGGATTCCAAAATTACATCAAGAGTTATAAATGCGTTAATGTGTGTTACTCTGACAGTAGAGATTCAAAATTCGTTAGTTATTGTATTTGTTTGCAATTTTGAAAACATAATCGATAAACTTGAACTATAAAAGATGTGTGTTAAGTGCTACTTCATTACATAAATGTATAATAGAATAAAATATGTTTGTGTGTGTATTACATAAAGAGAAACTAAAAATTTAAGGATGAAAAACTCAACTAAAATTTTGTTCCTTAATCGAAGTAATCTTGTAATCATGTGAAGGACGCATATATAGATCACAAATTTAATACCTGTATTATAGGGAAGGATTTTCCATTTTCTATGTCCAACTTTATTAATATAATCTATGAGTTTATTTTATCTTTCTCGGGACTCCACAAATCTTTCTTTAATCAATTCTTTTTAGGAGAATTACTCTGAGTTATGATAAAATATTAGAACCATACAAAAATCTCAATAAGTAAATATTTACTTATAAATTTTAGTACTCTTAAAGATGCTAAATGAGAGTGAAAATACGTCTATAAATAAAGGAGACAAATAATGAGAACATATAAATTTGATTTGTCAAAGGTCATTAAGACTCTGACCCCATGCATTTTCACACACACGCACGCACGTACGTATACACGCGCACACACACACAAACACACACACTCACTCACACACACGCACGCACGCACGCGCACTCACACACACGAACATATTCAAAAATATTAATTAGTGGGGACAAAATGATACTCCTTCGTCTCATAAAAAATATTTTATTTGAGCAATGCAGTTTTTAGAAAAATAATTATATATATTAATTTTAATAAAAAAGCTAGTGTCATTTTTAAAAATACGTTTATTAATTGTAATAGATAACATAGTTAAATTAAATTAAAGTTAATAAATAATAGAAATAGTAATAAAAAATAGTAATTCACACTGTATCATATTTTTAAGAGATAATTATTTTAAAACATTGAAAAATATAAAAGTGAAATACTTTTTATGCGAAGAAGGAAGTACACATATTTTAAATATTACATACCACATATTAAAAATTCGTGCATAAAAATTTATTAAAATAAATATATTTTTATCTTGTGAATTTAATTTATTTAGTACCTAATTGTTGCCATAAGAGTACTACATCAAAAAATTAAAAAAGATAAAATAATATATAATAATTATTCAAACAACAAATTAATCTTTAAGCTAGATATTTAGAATAATTATTAATTTTATTTTTAATTTTCAATACTATTACATATATATTTATGTGTATGAGGTCAAATAATATTTTAACAACTTATCTTTTAAATTATTTATAATTAAAACTAATAATTCATTTAATGGGAATATATTTAATTTTTAAGAAAAATTAAATTAAAATAGTTAATTATTTAACACGAAATAAATAAACTAGTGGGGCAAATACTCCCAATTAACACAACTTAGATCCATCCCCATATATATATATATATATATATATATATATATATATATATATATATATATATATATATATATATATATATATATATATATATATATATATATATATATATATATATATATATATATATATATATATATATATATATATATATATATATATATATATATATATATATATATATATATATATATATATATATATATATATATATATATATATATATATATATATATATATATATATATATATCATGAATAACGTTTTTATTTGTGACAATTTCCATATATGACTCTTGTGGTATAATTCAAATTAATTAGTTAGTTAGCGTTATTAATTATTCTGAGCAATTAATCTACTTATATATATATATATATATATATATATATATATATTATACTAAAATAAAAATTAAAAATAAAGTATCGATTTTATCTGGCTTTTTACATAAAAGAAAAGGTCCCGCCCTTGGTAGCGGCAATACGACGACGTTTGTTTCCTCCTAGAGCTACACAAAATTTCCTCACTCGTGCAACTTCTCTTCCCCATTGTGGTTTCAGCAATAGCAGTAGCATCATCATCAATGGAGAACGCTGAAGAAAACACTCTTCGAATCCTAATAGCAACGGATTGCCATCTAGGTTACATGGAGAAAGACGAAGTTCGCCGCCACGATTCTTTCCAAGCATTCGAAGAAATTTGCTCCATTGCGGAACAGAAGCACGTCGATTTCATGCTACTCGGCGGTGACCTTTTCCACGAAAACAAACCGTCTAGGTCAACTTTAGTCAAAGCTATCGAGATTCTCCGTCGCTATTGCCTCAGTGATCGACCTGTTCCTTTTCAAGTTGTTAGCGACCAGACTCTCAATTTTCAGAATACGTTTGTTTCTCGCACTGCGTTTAATTTTCGCTGTTATGCTCTTTGCTGAATAATAGTAGTTTTGGTGGTTCTTGTGTGATGTATAGTTAGTGAATGTTGTGTTTTTGATTTTGTTTCACAGGTTTGGTCATGTAAATTATGAAGATCCTCATTTCAATGTTGGTTTGCCTGTATTTACCATTCATGGAAATCATGATGATCCTGCTGGAGTGGTATGAGTTATGTTACTTATGCGCACCTTTGGTATTTTTGTTGTATCTATTGTTTTCTGGTCCGTTTGGATTTACTTATTTTAGATGTTATACTTGCATAAATACTAGTGAGATTGTTTGAAAAGGCTTATGACATGTCTATAAGTTATTTTCAGCTTTTTTGTATAAACTATGCGGTATAGCTTATGGAAACAACTTAGAGCTTATATGGAAAATTTGACTTTATTTTATATTTTGTTATAAAAATAGCATATACATAAGCACAAATGCTAGAAGCTTTTAGTTAAGTTATTTATCCAAACAGGATCTTATATAGTTGGTGCTATTCTGCTTTTTATCGATGGAGTCTTTATGATAGGATATAGAATTTGGCTTCTATTCTGTGGGGGGTTCACTTTAGATGGGTGAATTACTAAATTGTGAAGTTAAGACTGTTCATTGGAAACTCAAAGCTGTAGAGTTTCAATGTGGTAGTTTGTCATTCACAAGTGTGTATTTGTCATATCCAATTATTAGTGGTTTTAAATTTTTACTTCAAAGTACACTACTCATTTTAGAGGCTGCAAATCTATCGGTATAACTTTGGTTAGGGTATTTGTAAATCCAATGGCATTGAATTGGTTCGTTAATTGCTGCACTTTAACATGGTAAATAAAAAAGAAAGATGATATGAAGAAATAATGTTTGAAGAATTTATGTGTTTATTGGAAATTATTGGTTCTTTTGAAAGTTGGCATTTTCTAACATTTGACACGATCGATGGTGAGATTTTGGTAGTTAAAACACATCTGAACTTGCCATGTTGATTCCATTACTTTAGTCATTGTTAATAGTTGCAACTAGTTAAGATAATTTTTAAATAGCTCAAAGTAGGAAGAAGGGCATCAGTTATAAACTGGGGACTTAGAGATTGTCAAAGAGGGGAGGGGAGTGATATTTTATCTTTTACTTGGGGTTGAGTGGGTGGTCGAGATCACAGAAGGGGTTAATATTTCCCTTTGACTTGGAGAACGCGAGTGTTTTTTGACTGGTTATTAACATTGTACAGACAATAAATATTTATATATAGATAAGTAATTAAGTATTCATTTATTACACCATTTAGTTTTCATTTCAAGACAGTACTGACTGGATGAAAATATGTTTCTTGTGGATATTTTCTCGGGAAATCTGTTTTTCTCTGTATTTCTGTTTTCAGATTTTAACTATGGCTAGAGTTGTTAGCCTTGTACTCTGCATTGTAGAAAGAAAAATTCAGAGTAACATAGAGAAATGTGCTGTTTATACATTGTTGCATACACAAGATTCTCTATATTATTCCTATATTGTGTCATGCTGTGAAGGTTTGATGATCTTTATTTACTTATTTTACTTGTTAGGTTTCAGGTTTCTCACAGAGGACCTCTGAATAAGTGGGTTGATACTTAGAAGGATAGTAGGAGTAGGAGGAACAAGGAATTTAGAGCCTTAGTGACTAACTATTAATAAAAATAGAAATAATCATAATAGCAGAATAATAACTACCTTTTCAATTTTGGTGGGATTTGTACAGGGGTAGTTATTATAAGGTAATTATGAGAATAGCGTGGGACACCTTGTGGGAGTGACATTAATTAAGAGAACCAGGTCTCCATACCGAGTATGAGGTGGGTTTTTACAATAAAGATTGGCTTTTTGCGTTCTTTCCAATTCGTTTCTATTAGTTTCCCACTGATATATATGTTGTAAAAATTCATTTACATTCCAAGTGAACTGATTTTATTTCACTCTATATATGCTTGACCACATTTTATTTTATCTACTTAATTCTATTCTGTTCACAACTATTCTAAACTACCAAAAATTGTATTTATTGTCAAATTATTATGACAGGACAACCTTTCTGTCGTTGATATTCTCTCAGCATGTAATTTAGTCAACTACTTTGGGAAAACGGTCCTTGGGGGTTCAGGTGTTGGTCAGATCACTATCAACCCTATTCTTATCAAGAAGGTTTGTTGTTGACTACTGTTACTGATCCAGACACTAAAAAAGGATGGGAGATATGAGAAAAGCAGGATGGTCATAAATGTCATTTTGTCCTGATATGTATTTCTATGAATTGCTGCAGGGTTCAACAGCTGTAGCTCTATATGGTCTGGGAAACATTAGAGACGAAAGACTGAATAGGATGTTTCAAGTATATAACTGATAAACTTTACTCTCAAGTCTCAAGTAGTTCAGTGATAAATTTAACTGTACTCAAATATGGATGTGATATATTCTTTTTCAGACACCTCATGCTGTGCAATGGATGCGACCTGAATCTCAGGAAGGATGTGAAGTTTCTGATTGGTTCAATATTCTGGTACTTCATCAAAACAGGTTGTCCATCTTTGTGCAGCTTTTTTGAAAGATTGTGTTTAATATCACATATTAATGAAATGAGTTCATTAACCCATGATTTACATATTTAAAAATTATTTGTCATGTAAATGGTGTTCAGTGTGAGATTTAGGTTTTAATTATTAAGAGGAGGATTAAGAGATTTGTGAAATACATGAGTGATTTTGATAGGAATGGATCGGATCCCACAAATGATGATGGGAATGTGTTAGTTAATAGAGATATTATTGGACCTAAACAATGGAGGGTATATGTGAGAAAGAATAGGAAACTCCACAAATAAATAGGAGTTAGTTTAGGTATTATTCTCCATATAAATAGGAGTGTATGGGGCAGTAGTTAGGCATTAATTGATTTTCTGTTTTTGACCTTAGGGTTTGGGCAGTGAGAGAATAGTTTCTCTGACTGAGGAGCAATAGCTCTGGAATTTATTTTACTTTCATATTAATTAATCAAATACTTTTCTTTATTATATACCTCTGTTCTATCAATTGGTCCGACCTACCATTGTTCATCCCCAAGGCTCCTAAGATGGCTGACCGTGTTTCTGCAGTGGAAGAAAGGTTGGAAGGTGTTGAGGCTAGCATTGCTGCGTTACGAGAGTTCATTGGTGCTGAGATTCAACGTGCAATGGCTCATCGTGAAGTGCCGCAGCCAAGCAGTGCGGCAGTTTCCTCACCGCTGGATGAGTTTCGTTTATCTGCGAAGAAGGTGGAGTTGCCGGCATTTACCGGTGACGATCCGGTTGCATGGATCACTCGGGCAGAGACATACTTTGAGGTACAACGAATTTCGCAGGATGTTCGTATTCAGTTGACCAAATTGAGTATGGAAGGCCCTACTATCCATTGGTTTAACCTATGGCATGATTCAACAGAGGAAGTGTCATGGGAGAACCTCCGTGAGGCGATGATGGTTCGATTTGGAGGTGGGCGTTTGGAGAATCCGTTTGAGGAATTAAAGGAACTAAAACAATCGGAATCAGTAGAGGAATATATTGCTGAATTCGAACTGTATTCTTCACAGTGTGGTCGTTTGCCAGAACAACAGTTTCTTGGTTATTTCATTGGTGGTTTACGTCATGATATTCGTTCTCGTGTGCGTACCTTCAAGCCTCGCAATCGTTACCTAGCAATGCAATTGGCTCGTGATGTTGAAAGTGAATTTGCAGTGGCTTCTGGACAAGGTTCTGGAGCACGTTACAAACCAGGTCATGGTTCTTGGACAAAATCTCAAAAGCCTAATTGGGCTTTTCGCGAAGGGGAAGGGAACGGATCTGCAACTCAGACCCAGCCTAATAATTCTTTGGGCCAACCGCGGACTGGTTCGGATTCTGGATCTCAAACCGTCTCAACACGTCCTACCAATTCTACAGCATCTTCTCGCCCAAATTTAGGTGACAATTCACGCCGTCAATCTCGTGGTGTTCGCCATCTACCAAGTGCAGAGGTTAATGAGCGTCGTGCGAAAGGACTCTGTTTTCGTTGCAACGAACGATGGGATCCTCTCCATCAATGTGCAACAAGACAGTTACGATTGATTATCTTGGGGGATGACGAGATTGTTAACGATGCAGGAGAGATTGTGGTGTTGGAGGCTGCGACGGAAGAAGAGCTCACACAAGAGGAATTAGAATGTAAAACCATGGGGCTGGTTGGTGTATCCAGTAACCCAAATCAGGTCCGGAGGATGAAATTGGAGGGATGTTTACAAGGTGCCTTAATTCTGGTACTTATTGACAGTGGAGCCACACATAATTTCATATCACCTAAGGTGGTTGAAGCCCTGGGATTGTCTATGGTGCCTTCTAATCCTTTGGGTGTTAAATTAGGAGATGGTCATCGTGTCCTAACTAGGGGTAGATGCAATGGAATTCAGATGAAAGTGGGATCAGTGCAGATTTGCTTTGATGCTTATGTGTTGGAGTTAGGAGGTGCGGATTTGATTTTAGGAGTTGTGTGGCTAGAAACGTTGGGGAAGGTGACCATGGATTGGAAAGAAATGTCTATGGAGTTCAACCATAAAGGCAGTATGGTGAAACTACTTGGTCAGGCTGTAGATGATAAGATGGCTACTTTCCAAAGCATTTCCAAAGCAGGGGTTGCTGTTGATCCTGCCAAGGTCAGCAGTGTGTTACAATGGGAAGGGATGGATGTTGGGGATGCTACCTGGGAAGAGGAACTATTGCTGAAGAGTCAATTCCCTGATCTGCGCCTTGAGGACAAGGCTAATGTTGTAGGTGGGGGTGATGATAGGAATGGATCGGATCCCACAAATGATGATGGGAATGTGTTAGTTAATAGAGATATTATTGGACCTAAACAATGGAGGGTATATGTGAGAAAGAATAGGAAACTCCACAAATAAATAGGAGTTAGTTTAGGTATTATTCTCCATATAAATAGGAGTTAGTTTAGGGATTATTCTCCATATAAAGAGGAGTGTATGGGGCAGTAGTTAGGCATTAATTGATTTTCTGTTTTTGACCTTAGGGTTTGGGCAGTGAGAGAATAGTTTCTCTGACTGAGGAGCAATAGCTCTGGAATTTATTTTACTTTCATATTAATTAATCAAATACTTTTCTTTATTATATACCTCTGTTCTATCAGATTTGCACTCAGCTAATCCATCATTTATATACAACTAGAAATAAATGCAATTTACATTTACATGGAGATTAATAACAATGATATTTCCTAGGCCCATGTATGTTATTTCCTAAGTACATGACTAACTAGATTGCTACAACTTCCAATACTAATAATTGTTATTAATTCCAACACTCCCCTTCAAACTGGAACATATAAGTCAAATGCTCCAAGCTTGAAACAAATGTATTGAATTCTCGGTCCCCTTAGAGATTTTGTGAAGACGCTGCTACTTGGTCATTTGAGGTAACAAGTTCAGTCATGATTTTATTAGAAAGAACTTTCCCACGAATAAAATGACAATCAATTTTAATATGCTTAGTTCTCTCATGTAATACTGGATTGGAAGCTATATGTAGAGCTGCCTGATTATCACAACATAGTTTCATTGGCTGAGTAATCCAAACTTCAACTCTTGAAGTTGTTTAATCAAGATAATTTCACAAGTGGCCGTAGTCATAGCTCTATATTAAACCTTTGCACCAGATCTTGAAACCACATTTTGCTTCTTGCTCTTCCAAGAGACAAGATTTCTACCTATAGAAACACAATATCTTGAAGTGAAACGCCTATCAATAGGCAAACCTGTCCAATCTGTATCACACAATAGTTAGATTTATAAAGTAGCTTGTCCTGGTGCCCTTTTAACGTGCTTCAGCATTCAACTCACTGCATCCCAATGATCATTATGTAGAGTGCGGACACTGCATGAATTGACTTACTATGTCAACCACAAAGCAAATATCTGGTCTTTTTATAGTGAGGTAAATGAGTTTTCTAACCAATCTTCGATATCTTTTTGGATTAGAACAAGGCTCTTCTCTGGCTAGAAAGTAATTTTACATTCGGATCCATGGGACTGTCAATTGGTCTACAGGGCAACATACCAGTTTCTTTAAATATGTCTAAGGCATACTTCCTCCGTGAGATGATAATCTCATCCTTTGACTGAGCAACTTCAATCCCAAAAAAATATTTTAGCTTCTCTAAGTCCTTGGTTTAAAAACAGCTACATGAATGTTCCTTCGGCTGAGAGATTTTCTCCTGGGCATTCCTTGTGATGACTATATCATCTACATAAATCACAAAGTAAACACATTTATTTAGAGAGGTATGACAATAGAAGTCTGAGTGATCTGCTTCACTACGTTTCATTCCAAAAGCTTGAATAACTGATTTCCCAAGCCCAATAGGCATGACAACGGGGCGGAGCGGGGGCATGTTTTACCTTTTCCGTACCCAAACTCGAATCCTAGATAAATACTTGCTCCCTGTCCCAAATTCAAATTCAAATGGGGATAAATAATTAGACCTAAAATTCATCCCATATGAGTTCTAATATCCCTGACCCATTTAAGTTGAAATAGTCCATTTCTTCAAACCCATAATTTGTCCCCAACTCTAACAAACATTAACATACATTAGAAATAACAAATTAAAAGAACCCTAAAAATTTTCAAACATACATTTCAAATAATAAAGTACAAACTAAAATATTATGTATTAACCAAACAATTAATTTCCTAAATTATAGAAAATATTCTCAATTATCAACGTGGTGGGTTTAGGGTGGATATTAGTGTCTCCATTATGCATCTTATCCCCATCTTTTTAAATTGAGGAAAATCCAAACTCAAACCCAGTTAAAGCGGGGTTTCCTTGTCAAACACAAGGCATGTTAAACCAAGCTCATGGAGATTGTTCCAATCCATAAAGAGTTCGTCGTAGTCCGCAAACCAAACCAAACTTCCTATGAGTAACAAATCCAAGAGGTTGCTCCATATAAATTTCTTCTTCTAACTCACTATGAAGAAACACATTTTTAATATCCAACTGATATAATGACCAATGACGGATGGCAGCTATGACAATAAATAATCGAACAAACGTTATTTTGACCATAGGGAAGAAAGTATCTTTATATTCAAGTCCATAAATTTGAGAGTATCCTTTTGCTACAAGTCGGGCTTTGAGACAATCAATCTATCCATTGACCCCAACTTTAATAACATATACTCATCGACATCCATTAGGTTTCTATCCTGGAGGGATAAGAGTTAATTCTCAAGTACCACTATGCTCTAAAATGTACATTTCATCAATCATGGCATGTAGCCATCCTGGATGATCAAGTGCCTCGAAAACATTTTCAGGAATGAAAATAGAAGATATAGATGACACAAAAGAATAATAAGAAGACAGATGATGGTAACTTAAGAAGTTATAAATAGGATGGGGATTGCGAGTAGACCCAATACCTTTTCAAAGAGTAATGGGCAAGAATTTCTTCAAGGTTTGTAGTAAGGCCATCCATTGGTGCAAAACATGATTCAAATGGTGTTTCACTACCTCCCAATTTTGTATTAGCTACACGTGGGCGGTGTTGGTATACGACAGGTGATCTTTGAGATTGCTTAAGAGGAGGATTGTCAGAATATTTGTAACATTTGTAACCTATAGTACCCCATAAAAACACATTTTATGGCTCGGGCAGAAAGCGTTTCAAGACTTAGAGACAAGTCATGAACAAAACAGGTGCATCCAAATATTCGAAGTGCAGTATGAAACAATCGTTCTTTAGAAAATCAAATGAAATGTTGTATTTTATGATCAAGAGAAGAAGAAGGCATTCGATTAATTAAAAAATAGGATGCCAAAATTGCATCACTAACAAGGTCCGAATAGTTTCAACAAGATGCATATTCTTCCTTTTAGCTATGCCATTCTGTTGAGGGGCATGAGGACAACTAGATTGATGGAGAATACCCTTTGATGACAAAAAAGAAGAAAGACTATAAGAAAAGGATTCTTTTGCGTTATCACTTCTAAGAATTTTGTTTTTCTTATCGAATTGGGTTTTAACATTGTTGACAAAAGTGGTGAGAATGGATAAAAGTTCGGATTGTTATTTCATTAAGAACATCCAAATGCATCGGAAGAATTCATCAATGGAAGTAACAAAATATCAGAAGCCGTTAGAAGACACACGACTTGGGCCCCATATATTTGAATGGATGACATAAAAGGGAGAATCGACCTGACTTTCAACTTTGCTTGGAAAGAAAGAGTGGACATGCTTTCTTAGTTGACACGACTCACAGTTTAATGATGCAAGTTTTGCAAGATTTGGAACCATTTGTGTTAATTTTAACAAACGTGGATGACACAGTCGTTCATGAAGAATGTTTGGAGACTCAATTGCAGTATAACTTACAAAAGGAAATGATTGTAGCAGGAACTGATTGGAGGTGATAAAGACCATGTGATTCGTGTCCTGCACCAATCATCCGACTTGTACCACATTCCTGTATTGTAAACAATGCAACATCAAAGGTTACCAAGCAGTTTAGAGAGCGAGTAAGTTGGATAAGGGAGATCAAATTAAAAGGGCAACTGGGTATAAACAAAACAGATTTTAAAGTTATAAAAGGAGCGACAAAAACATGACCGATTCCTTTAGTGGGGACATTACAACCATCTGCTAGAGTTATGAAGTGAGGAAATTTGGGAGAGGATATGGAAGAGAATAAAGAACGATTACCAGCATATCTTTTGAGTGTGACCCATTCTTTTGCAATTTGTGCATTGATGACGATCTATTTTTTTCAAAAACTGAGTGGACCAGCGAGCAACAACTAGGGATGGAGACTAGAAAATGAAGATAACAATGACTTTTGGGCCGAAGAAGTATTATTTGAATATTAATTTTTATTTTTTACAAATCAAGATTCAAGGGTTCTACTAGACCAGAGGTAGAAACCCTTAAAAAAAATGAACTAGCTCTGATACCGATTTGTGAAATACTTGAGTGATTTGCACTCAGCTGATCCATCATTTATATACTACTAGAAATAAATTCAATTTACATTTATAAGGAGATTAATAACAACGCTATTTCCTAGGTGCATGCAGTGTTATCAAATAGCGGTGGCATGACTGCTATGGCGGATATGCATAGCGGTTTTTAGGTTGCCGCAATGGTAAATATCGACTGATACTGCGAGTTTTTTCGCCATAATCTGATATTGTCGGTTTTTCTGCCATATTCCGGGTTTTTCTGCCATAATCTGCTATAACGGCGCCGCAAAGCGGCCGGTATGGGGGGATTTTGGCTCTCTGCCATCGGCCACCATCGACAACACTGGGTGCATGTATGTTATATCCTAGATGCATGACTAACTAGATTCTTACTAGATTGCTACAACTTCCGATACTAATAATTGTTACTAATTCCCACATTCCAATACTAATAATTGTTACTAATTCCAACAGTTCAGTACTAATAATTGTTAATCATTCCAACATTAATCAACATGACAATTGATCTTGTTTTGAACAATGGTATGCAGAGTAAAAACAAATCCCAAAAATGCAATAAATGAGCATTTCCTGCCACGCTTCCTAGACTTCATTGTGTGGGGACATGAGCATGAATGTCTGGTTGACCCACAGGTGCACTGATTAAACATCTCTTATACGGACCTAGATTGCTTACAGGCCTAGATTGTCTACATGCTGTGTTTTGCAAACTTAATATGAATTTATTTTTTCAGGAAGTTCCAGGGATGGGATTTCACATTTCACAACCAGGGTCGTCTGTTGCAACATCACTTATTGATGGAGAATCGAAGCCAAAACATGTCCTTCTCTTAGAAATTAAGGTTGTCTATATAGTGGGAAACGTAATGACTCTTTCATAGTAGCAACTATTGTCATATCTACATATTATATATAAGTTCATGAATTAATGATTCTTAACAGGGAAATCAATATCGCCCTACTAAGATACCTCTAACATCTGTGCGGCCTTTTGAGTATACAGAGGTCAGGTGATATTATTTTGATTTCTTTTGTAAATACTCCCTTTTTGAACTAATTCACAAGAACTAAGAAAGTTGTTTAATTTTGTTTGTAGCATTAAATTTGTTAATAATTTGTATTATTTTTCTAAAACTCCCCTTAAAATTGTTGGGACTTGAGTCACTCTTTCCACTTAGTTAATTTGTATTAGGACTCATCACTCCACTCACAAGTGAGATGATGAAATAACCAACGTATGTTGAAAAAAATAAACATTTAATGCAAGAGACAATTTGGAGGGTGACTAATAAAAAGTGACAAATTTTTTTTCAAAGTAGTCTTATATATATTTAGTCTTATAAAGGGATGCAGGGAATATCAAATATCATTAAGTATAACAAAAGTCATCTCTTATTCAATGACCTTTAAATCTTTATAATGCAGATAATACTAAAAGATATTCCTGATATTGACTCCAATGATCAGAATTCTATTCTTGAACATCTCGACAAAGTGGTAAGTGGGTTTCTTGATATTGAACTTTTTTTTCATGCTGTATAATTTGCTGTGCCCTTTTGGTCGATTAGTGCCGGAGGAGAGGACCACTTAGGTGTCTGTTTCAAAAGTTTTAGAGGTCAATGGTTGGTTGGCTATAGGCATGATTCATGATAGAAAATGGATGCATTGTTTGACACATGTAGCCGACCTTACCTTGTGGGGTAAAACTTGGTTTTGTTGTATATGTATGCGTGGTGTGGTCATGTGTGTATCAATGTTATTTTAATCATAGATCATTGTACAGGTCGAGAAGCTTCTAGAAAAATCTAGTAAGAAAGTTGTCCTAAGAGCAGAACTGAAGCTTCCACTAATACGTATCAAGGTAATTCCTATATACTGGGACATGACTTTTGAAAATCACTTCTATGTTCCAGTGCACTTCCTCCTGTTTAGCACTTCACTTTGCAGGGAGATTGATCTGCAATTCATGATTCTATAACCTTACTGCTTTTAATCTGACACTTATCTTATACAAAAGGTAGTAATTTTCATGATACCCAACCAGTTAAACACTATCCATCATTATGCATGGATCCCTCAGAAGACAGTTTGTCATCAGTACTTATTTGTACTTCTGCTTAGTGTATTGGCAATAACAGACGTCTAGTTTCATTAGGTATTACATAATGTTATCTGGCATAACTTCAAGTCTCAAACTAATAAAGCTTAATTTACAGGTAGATTACTCTGGATTTATGACTATAAATCCGCAAAGATTTGGGCAGAAATATGTAGGAAAGGTAATTTCATTCTATCACTCTTCCTAATAAGTGTGCTAATGCTAATTTTACTTGGAGTTTGTTTTCTATTATTGATTGGTCATCCTTATTTTAGGTTGCAAACCCGCAAGACATCCTTATATTTTCAAAGGCATCAAAATTGGAGAAGGGTGTAGGTAATTAAAATTATCTTTGTTAACTTTCTATATCGGTTCATTTGACATTAACAGTGTCAGTTACAATATCCACGGCAGACATCTTTTATCTATTTATTTCTTTTTCTTAAAGTTCAGTTTAATCTTGTTCACTCCCACCTTTGACACTGTTACTTTGAGTATACAACCACCTAGATAAGATATTTATAATTATTTTATGCTACAAATATTACATACTCACATTAAGGTCATGTTGAAGGAATATTTTTGTACATATTAATAATTGCTTACAAGGCATATGCAATCTCTATGGAAAGCAAACTAAAATACACCGTGTTGGCTAACTGGTATCTGGGAATTTGGTTATTTACCCCCGCACTTTTTATTGGTAGGAAAAATTGATGATTCGGAACGACTCCGTCCAGAAGAATTAAATCAACAGAACATAGAGGCTTTGGTTGCAGAAAATAATCTGGTATTTAAATCATTTAGTACTTTAATCCTTTAGTCTCTCTATATATGGATTTATGGATATTTCTTACTTCAACAATGAACAACCACATAGGTTTATGTGACTCACAGACTCTGCAATTGTTATGAATCTTCATGTGGCATGCGGTAGAATCTTTCTTTCGATCTATGGTTAAAACAAGAAGCAGGCACAGAACCCCTCCTATAATAACACAATTTTTCTCAAAAAATTGATTTCTTTCATGTTTGTTTCAATACCAGTCTGCCTTTATCAAAAGGCCACAAATAATGAAGAATAGATCCTAATCAAACTACCCCCGATAAAAAATGATTCTGTTATGCAGAATCTTATCTAGATAAAGAAATAAAAAAGAAAACTACTATTGATAAAGGTTCTGTTATGCAATGTTGTCGAGATAAAAAACTTCTAAAACAAATTTTATAAGAGATCAAATTATTCTAACCAACAGTTTCTAACTAACCTAAATTTAAAAAGATGAAATAATCCTAATTTCAAGAGTTAAGCTGTTGTCTTCTTGCTCCTCTGGTGCTATCCTATGTCCTATATATGTAGTAGTAGTGTATATTACATTTTAAAGTCAATTTAATTTTCTTGAATTTTGTTGGGAACTCTTAGAACCTGGGTTGGGCTTAAATCGACCTTAGGGATGTTCACCTTTCACCAGACAACTTCATTAGTATCTGGAATTCTAGATCGACTTTACTTTTGTTGAAGGTAAAAGATATAAATGTAAAAAAAAAATGCCAGTATAATTTTATTTTATCTTTGAATGTATCTAACTTTTAGTAATTTTGCAGAAAATGGAGATACTTCCAGTCAATGATTTGGATATTGCTTTACACAATTTTGTCAATAAGGATGATAAAATGGCATTTTACACTTGTGTACACAATAACATTGAGGAAACACGGGTTAGTTTCTTTATGGCATTTATCCTCTGTATACTTTTGTCTATGATACTGATATGCTGGAACATCCAGGACATACTATATTCCACACCCTATTTACTAAGAATGACTACACTGTATCTTCTTCATATTATTGTATGTGTTACGTTAATGTCATATTCCTTCCTCTTCCCGTGATGACTAACTCTTATGCTTGCGCAGAATAAAATTGCTAAGGATTCAAATGAGCGAAAGTTTGAGGAGGAAGATTTAGTTGTTAAAGTTGGAGAGTGCTTTGAGGTTAGAAGTTTCCTCAATGTTTTTCATTAGTTTAGGAATCAATTGTTCTCCATTGAATTCAGGTTTAAAATTCACTTTGCCTTGGAAGGCCTTTTTTTTTCCTACGGCTTTCATGAAATAGCATTATAGTGGTTGCAGATAATCTAGACCTTCATCAATCTCTTTTTTTTTGTTTGTTGTAATATTTGCAATTATTGGGGCCTTTATGATTATTTTATTAGGTCATCGTGATCATAATTGTTTGATGGACAGAACATATGTGTCATCAGTGACTGTTATCGTTCTCCTTTTTGTTCTAGGAACGTGTTAAGGAACGATCCACACGACCCAAAGGATCTACACAATTAACTCCTGGTGCTCACTCCTTTGAGGTAAACCCGACAAATGATATTATACATTGATACTTGCTATTGCAATTTGCAACATGATGGAAAAAGTAGGGTTTTGGGTAGGTGATATTATTCATGACCTTTATTCTTTGCTTCTCTCTTTATTCTATATAGGATTTTCAAGGAAGAAGTGCTGCTGGAGCTGATAGTGCAGTTTCCTTCAGTGATGATGAAGATGCAATGCCAATATCGAGCTCAAAGCCAAGCACTAGAGCTCGAAAAGGATCCTCTGCATCTCAAACTACAACCAGAGGAAGGGGCAGGGGCAGGGGTAGGGGCAAAGGCAAGGATTCCAGCACATTGAAGCAGACAACCCTTGATGGATCTTTAGGGTTTCGCTATTCTCAAAGGTTGCATTTGCTAAGAAATAAGTCATTTTAGTGTTTTTTATTTATTTTTAATTTCTATGATGCAGAGTAAGTCCAGAGGGGATATGGAATACTTCCATTTTCATTTAATGTTCATCACTTTCCATTGAACAAACATGTCTTTACAGCTACAAATATTAAATATCTTTGGTATTATATTAGAGTATCTTAGTTTATCATCTATGACCTGGTTCTAATCTTAGAGTATCTTGGATTAGTTTCTATATCACTTTGTTATTATCATGATTTGTTTCATAATTTTCTTATTTATTTAGGATTAGGAGTCATGTAAGTACCCATTGTTTAGTCTTTTGTATCAAATCAATATCAAACTAGTATATAGATATATCATGCTAGTATATAGCACATGGAAATAACATTTATTTTTTAAGCTTGCTGGTGGCCAATGGCCACCAACTATTATGCCAGAAACTGTTTTGTTGCTGAATTGATGTCTCTCAAAGATAAATATTAGAAAAGCAGGCTCACAGTTTCCTAGATCGAGATATCAGCTCTACTCAGTTATCCCGTCTCAGTATATTTATATTATATTGTTTTTTAGAGTTATGATTCTGATTTCTTCTCTGCTTCATGCATCCTTGTTGCTTTGGCCAGTGGACAAATCGCTTCTAAGAACATTGGAGGATTTATACAAAGTCATATATTCCCTTAATGGTGCCTTGACTGTGAATATAAGCCCTACATGATTTCATGATTTAATGCAGGTCTGCATCAGTCGCTGCAACAACTGCCATCCGAAGTGGTGTCAATGATGGCGATGATATGGCTTCTGGTTCAAGTGAAGATGCCAAAGGAAATGCAGTCGAAGAGATTGATGACAGTTCGGTATGGATTAATACCAATTTCTCATTTTTTACTTTCCTTTGTTTACAGTCCCGTCAAAGATGAAGTGTATTAGGATCTTTGGTTCAGTGCTTGTCAGTTTGCTTTGTGCAACCTGACAATTTATATTCGCATTGGACTGTAATTTTTTGTCCGATATCCTTGACATTCTAATATGCTGCATCTTATATTGCATAGGACAATGAATCCAATCTACCGACACGGAAAAGAGCTGCTCCAAAGGGACGAGGTAGAGGTGCTACACAGTCTTCTAAACGGGGGAGAAAATCAGATAACTCTTCAATCCATAGAATGCTCATGAACAATGACGATGACGACGACGACGATGATGACAATATTCAAAAGAGATTAAATCCGTCTCAACCTCGGGTTTGTGCTTCTTTCAATTCTTCTGTTTCTGATAGGATATATATTACCAATGCAAAATGCGTAGTTGAACAGATGGTGATACATCTTGTGTTGGTATACATTTTTTGATTCATAGCATCTAGGGAATTGTGATGTTTTATGTAACTAAACTATTTGTCTTGTTTTTAGGTGACCAGAAACTATGGAGCTCTAAGAAGGTGAAAACTGGGTTTTGTTTGATGTTTTCAATAGGCCTCACTAACAAGATAAATACTGCCACATAATGAATTTAGCTCCATTACCTTGTAAAACAAACATCAGAATAGTTTGTTAACTAGTTGGTAACATTTTGCCTGGGATTCATAGATTACTAAATAGTCTGGTTTAGCAGAGTGCAAGAAACAAATAGCAGACTGAAGACAAAACAGAACCTTGTTTGAGAATGGGTCCTTCGGCTCCCCAGCCACCATGTTTATGCTATGTCGAATGTGTTATATTTTATTTTTTATTTTTATGGGGATGGGAGTGATGAAGCCAGTCAACTAGGCAGTGAAATGGATGCATGTATTTCTTTCTCTGGTTTACATTTTCAAGTGTGTCTTGCTGCAAAACATGATTACCCAATTGCGAATGTTATGGCAACAAAATCTAGAAAGTTCTCATCATAGATAATCGCTATCAAAGAAAATTTACTTTCAAGTCGATAATTGGACCAGTCAGCAGAAGTATTTTTCAGAAGCAATAGAAAGTAATTTTTTTTCGTCTGCTGTGTTCGACTCGAAAGTCAATAGATGCACTTATAATAAAAGCAGTAGAAAAAGAAAATTCAATAACAGACTTGTTATCTACTATAGATAAATTTATATTTTCTTTAACAAAGTTGAAGCACATATGTTCAACAAGATGAGAGAAAGCTATTTGGACAATTGCTTAGCATGTAAAACACTTCTATTTCTATTGGGATGCTGTTGGAAATTTTAAAACAAAAAGCCATATATTTGAGACTTGATATAGTATACTTCACCAATCATTTAAAAAGTAGTTTAGTTTTAAGTTTGAAATTATTAAACATGCTTTTATTTTCAAAATTTTTAATGAATTTTTAAAGCATTTTAACATTTAATTCTAAATTGATAATAAACTTAGTCCAATTCATCAGTATCTTGTAATGCATCTACATTATTTTGTTGGATGTAATGCATCTACATTTAACATTAACATTATGTGCACATGGGTAATGAATAATAAATATATTAAACTATTAATCAATAATTTTATGGAGATCAAGCACTGGTCCTTTCCAACCACAACTTGATTGTGTTGGCAACTTAACACTGAAAAAGTCTTATCAACACTTATAATTTTGCTCTCTTTTATTTTGGTCAAAATAGTTTTTCCCTCTAAAATTCCAATAATTTAAGAACACATAGTTTCACAACCCTAATCTTAATAACAAACTAGATTTGAATTGATCATAGTCCACTTCCGCAAGTTGAATTAGGACCCCACTTTTTCTATCAATAATCATATTTTTAATGTAAAAAATAAATCTTAGTCTACCCTTTCAATTAATAGGCTAAAATCTATTTCTGGCCACATGTATGATTAAAAATAATAATTTCAACATTAAAAAATCATTCGTATTAGAAAATAAAATTTTGGAAATTAAGAAAACAATGAGATGATATAAAGAATCAGGTGATGGTAAATTCTAACGAAACATATAGTAGAAATTTAATTCAAAACAAAATGCATAGAAATGATATAGTTAAATAGTAATCCTTTGTAGCAACATTGCGGGGATAGCTCAGTTGGGAGAGCGTCAGACTGAAGATCTGAAGGTCGCGTGTTCGATCCACGCTCACCGCATGTAGTTTTTCATTTCTTATACTGTCTAGTCTTTTTCAGTTATGTATCTAACCATCAAGGAGTATTAAAAATTACCAATATCTATAATAATATGAGGAATGATGCATTTTTTCTTCAGTCTTTATTATGCATTCCTTTAAAAAAAAAAATCTTTAAAATGAACATGAAAATAATTATAAAATACAATATATATATTTTTTAAGAATATTAACTAAAGTTTTTACACGTAATTATTTTGATACTAAATTAAAAAAAAAATTTGGATAAAAAAAAATATACATAGAATAAATATAAGTTTTTACACGTAATTATTTTGATACTAAATTAAAAAAAAAACATTTGGATAAAAAAAAATATACATAGAATAAATATTTGTCCATAAATTTTGTTGTTGTAATATCATTGAAATAAAAAAAAAACAATTACAAAATAATATTTCATATTTTAATTTAGTAGATTGTTATTTGAATTAAATGAATATAAATTGTTAGTCTAAAGTTTAATATTTGACATCTTTTGTTTATATTAATAATTTAATAACTTAAAAAAAAACTATTTTTTAAACAAAAATTGTTGATGTGTATATATATTTTTATTAGGAAAAAGTGTTTTTCTATAATTATTATCTAAATTTAGTATTTTGTAAAATATCTTTAACATAAAAATGATAATACTTATCTATAAGACCTAGGTCAACTAAAAATATCTATACTATTAGTTTGAATATTTGTTACGTTTGCAGCAAAAGTAAGTTTTATAATTATCGTAGTTACATAGGCTAATAGTTTCAAAGACAATTCAATAGTTTTTAAGATCTTAAATAGAGAAGGGTTGTATATTTATTGTGATGAGTGAAAGTAAATAACATAAAAATAAATGACAGAGAGTAAAATGGAGATTTCAATGTTAATAATAGAAAACTTGATATGGATAGATTTCAATTCCATATGTCAGCAATATGCTCCTTTACTCATTTATTATTACTACATGTTGCTCTCATTCGTATCACCTTTCGGTCTCAATGTTGTGAGATCAGTGCGTTACACAATACCCGATATATTGGAGAATATCAACGTTATTAAGTTTCAACGTTATTAACTCAAAAAATGAAATGTCAAAGAAGTTTTTGCTTAGCGAGTGAATGATCTTGCTTAGAGAAAGTTCTGGAGAATATCAAAACCCGTTCTTTTTACCTACTTTAGAGAAATATAATTCGCATAAAGAAAAGTTTAGAGTTAAAAAGTTGAGGTCGCCTTCCAACAAGCGCATGTTTAACGTCTTTAGCCCGATGCCCGTGTTAGGGTTCTTTAATATATCTTCTTTTCTTCTTCTTATCCCCTCTCATGAATTTGAGATAAGTAGGAAATTGCTTCAAGGCTTTATAAAATGATGTTTTTTTCTGTAGTATTTTGAGAATATCTACAAACTTTGAGTACTGCATTTTGTTCTTGGTTGGAATATATGGATAAGGAAAATTTTGAACAGGTGATTTTTTCAATTTTTCCTCCTTGGTTCTTTGGTCTTTTGATTTTGCCTTTTCAATTAAATCTTTCTCCAAATCTTTTTCTTCAGCTTCTTTCCCATTTTCTTTCTTTTTTGTTTCAATAACAACTTCTTCTTTCTTTTCATCATTGTTATTTTCACTCACTTTGTAGTGTCCATTTGAGTTAGTTTAAGTGTTGGTATTGATTAGTATATCAAATAAATCCTTGATTAAATGAACAATTTGCATTGTGAGACTTTTGATTATAGCATCTATTTTTTTCTAGTTTTCCATAGTCACTTTCATGAACTGATTATGTATCTCTTTCAATCTTAATATACCGTCCTGTTGAGGAGGATCTAGTTGCATATTGTCCATGATTTGAGATCTTGTTACTTTAATATTTCTATGGTTTTTGTTGGTTGTTCAAGAAGTTTATTACTTCATATGGTGGTGGAAAATATCTTGTGGGATGATTTCTAGCGCAAATCTCACAATAATATATATTTTTTTTGCGTTGGCACTTTCTCCATTTCTTTGTGAAAGCCTTGACAATTTTGTTACCATACATAAACAACTTTAAACAAAAATAGCTACTATGATTAGTAGGTTAGTGACTATAAACAAAATATACGAAGACAAGCAGAAAATTTATAATGGGAAAAACTATTGAGATATCTTTAAAAACTAATGGCAATCTCCAACAACGGTGCCATTTTGTTGCGTTTGCAGCAAAAGTAAGTTTTATAATTTTCCTATCCATAAAAACTGTTGGTTTTAAAGATTGCTCAACAGTTTTTAAGATCTTAATTAGTGAAGGCTTGTATATTTGTTATGATGCGTGAAAGTAAATAACATAAAAATAAATGACAAAGAGTAAAATAGAGATTTCAGTGTTAACATTCAGAAAACTTGCTAGGGATAGATTTCCTCATTACATATTTATCATCCCCATCCATAGACCAGTAATATGCTCATCTAATCAGCTATTAATATTACCTATAGTCGATAACTACTATATTAGTCTATTAACCAACACATAGTCAATACGTGCATATATTGAACCTAACCCTATCTCAAGGCGCTAGTATCCAATAGATGATCATCTTGAATCTAATAATGACAAAAATATTTCAATGTTATTGCGAAGACAATTATCTTATTGAAGATGTTTTGATGAAGACAAAAAATGAACAAGTAGGAAAAGATTCAACATGGAGTTTGTGTCAAGACAAGTAAATTATCTTAGCAAGAATGAATCAAAGAATTGATCATCAAGCATGTGCATATGAATTTTGGATATTTAATCAAGGATAAACTAAAGTACAATATGCATTAATGAAATAATCTTAGATGCTTAAAGAAAAATATTTTATGCATTGGTTCATCATTTTTCAATGTTAGCATGAAATTACACTTTCAAAATAGTGAAAATCTCTAAGCCCACTAAAGGCTAATCGATTAGCCTCCTTTCAAATAAAATCATTCTAATCGACTACCTATGCTCAGGGAAAAATTAAAAACTTGATTTTTCTATGTGCTAATCGATTATCCCTACCTTCTCTTTACAAACATAATTGATTATCCTCCCTTTAAAAAGGGATGGCATAATCGATTAACATATCTTTCTAATGGAAAACATAATCGATTAACATGCATATTTTGACATGATGATAATTGATTATCCCTTGGTAAGAAGACCAAAGCTAATAGATTAACCTCCCTTTCCTTCACTTATTTTTTCATGTTGTTTCTTTTTGAATTTTTTTGAAGCATTGCATTTTTTCTGTCACCTATTTTCATCTCCAATATTTTCTTAACCATGACAATTGTTCATAAGGTTTTCTTCAACAATTGCTTTTGGAAAAGT